TTTTTTCATTTTGCTTATGTGGTGCTGAGGAATCGAACCCAGGGCCTCAGGCATGCAAGGCAAGCGCTCTACCACTGAGCCACCTTCCCAGCCCCCAGTCTTAGTTTTTCCAGTGGAGACTGATGATTATTGAACATGCAATAGAACGTGTCTCTGCCATGGTCTGCTGCCTGGCAGTGGCTCTGAAATTATTGAACTCATGGGTTGAAGAAAGTGTAGTGGGTGACTCACCCCTGAAACCATTGGCTGCATTGCCTAAGAGTGGACCAGGTAGAGATGAACAAGTTAGGATACGTGAAAGATGTGCATGGGAACTTGCTCACAGTTTTTCTCATAGTTCTTAAAATATAAATTTACAGTTTTTACGTCCATGTACATTTTCTCTCATGTCTTTTTCTTTTCTAATATGACTGTATTTTTTCTTTCTGCTGGCAGTGTGATAGACGGGTCCTACATTTTGTCTATTGCACGGTGGCCTGCATGGAAGCTAAAGTACCGTCCACCTGAGTCAGGACTCATGCCACTCTCTGCTGAAAGCATTTGGGGCGATGATGGAGTCTTTCTGAGTGGCCCATTCTGATGATATTGTAGAATGCAATTTTACCATGTCTGTGGTTTTTACTTGCATGTTACAGAAACAGCTACTTTACCCCTTGTTTACACTTTAATATGTTTTATCTTAATAGTCCTTGTGAAGGCAGTTTTCTTTGTTTTTGTGGGATTTTTGTTGTTGTTTTGCTGGTCATGGACTTTGAACTCTAGGCCTGAGCACTGTCTATAAGCATCTTTTGCTCAAGGCTAGCCCTTTATCACTTGAGCTATAGCACCATGTCCACCTTTTTCTGTGATTAATTGGAAGAGTTTCATGAACTATTCTGCCCAAGATGGCTTCCAACTGTGATCTTCAGATCCCAGCCTCCTGAGTAGCTTAGGATTACAGGCATGAGCCACTGGTCCCAGGCTGAAGATATTGTTTGACCATTTGTGTCTATATTCCCAGCCCTCAGCATAATAACTACATATCATAGATGCTCAAGAAATGATGGAGGTCTTTTGAAGGGCAGTAGAAAAACTCAGCCAGCATGCAAGTAAAATTTCCAGTGATACTTTGCCACTTAATAATGCACAGTGTGTGGCTGTGTGTGCACCCTGCAAAATGTCTTTGACCACTTAGATAAAGTACTACTCCTTTGCATGTGATCCTCTCTTTAAAGTCTTCATTCTCAGATTTGTGCCTTAACATCAGCTTTCCTCTGTGGAAGTTTTTAGAACAGGGGTTATTGATTTTGAAGGCCTATGAAAATAAATGTTTCAACATCACTTTTAATTTGCTTTTGAAAAACTTTAATTCCTCTTTATTCTCCTATTTCTAATTGAGATCTTTATTCTACAGCCACAACACCAAAACAACTACCTGGTTGGATCCTCGTCTTTGTAAGAAAGCCAAAGCCCCTGAAGACTGTGAAGATGGAGGTAGAGATTCAGAATCTTTTATGCCATTCTTACCTTCTCTGTTCTTTCTTGCTCTGCTTGTTTAGTTAATGCATTTTCCAAAACCATAAACAAATTGTAATGTGTTGAAGCACATGACTTGTAGGTAGACATCTTGATCTACTGACTGTGAGAATTATAACAACGAGTATTACTTTGTGAAAAATGTTCTTTATCTCCTCTGAGAGGATTATAGTTCTTTTTTTTAAGAAACTTAACAAAAATATGTTTTTCTCTTTAAACGCATATCCTTAAAACACAATTCTTAAAGTTCAATAAATTTAGGAACATTCTTAACTACAAGGTAGCATATTTGTTGAATCTTCAAAAATACGTTAAATTTAGTATGCGATGGATATGCTAGAATGTATTCCTTAGCTAAACCAATAGAAACTCAACGAAAGCCTGTCCTATACTACCCACATACAATTTTACTCTAAGAATCACCAGATAGGCTGGGAATGTGGCTTAGTGGTAAAGTGCTTGCCTAGTATGCATGAGGCCCTGGGTTCAATTCCTTGGCACCACATAAACAAAAAATAAAGTTAAAATAAAATGTTATTTAAAAAAAGAATTACCAGACAATAATATTTATCTATGTTGTATATTACAGGTTTATATGCTAGCATGTAGTGTTGCAAATAAGCATAGTATTTTTCCTACCCAAAATGGTTTGATTTGTCTTGATCTTGAAAATAGGGTATAATTAAACAGAATTTCCAATGTTATTGTTCAAGATGGTTATAATCTTAAGAGTTCTTCTAGGAACAAACAATTGAAAAAGAAGAAACGTCTAAGCAGGGTACCAGAGTCTCATGCCTGCAATCCTAGCTATTCCAGAGGCTAGGATCTGAGGATTGCAGGCCGAAGTCAGCCTGGGCAGGAAAGTCTTTGAGACTCTTTTTTTTTTTTTGTCGGTCGTGGGGCTTGAACTCTGGGCCTGGGCGCTGTCCCTCAGCTCTTCAGCTCAAGGCAAGCACTCTACCACCTGAGCTACAGCGCCATTTCCG